AGGGCTTTCTCTTGGCTCATTAGGCCTTGATGAGCAGAACCTGACATTAGCCTTTTGACAACTCTGATTTAGGACCGGTATTGCATACAGACGCTAACACACGCACACATACACACAGGCACACATGCGAGCAAAAGTAACAGGACCAGTATGAAAGATAATTAGCCAAACCACTCTGTATCTATCTTTCTATATAGTTTTTTAATTTTATTTTGGCTCAATTGAGTCTTTATAAGTGGTAAGATAGAGCCGGATAGTCTCCTAACCCCAGTTTTAACGTGAGACTTTTTCCGGAATGAGACCCAGCTCTGATGATGTCCATCATTTGATGGACGAAAGCTCAGCCCATTTTCACCCGAAACGAGGAAGGAGGTCTCGTGGACTGCGTCAACCTGAACGTCGTCTAAAAGCCAAACGGGATTCAGCCGTCCCTTCTTGCGAGATCGACCCACGAATCTGTTATTCATGCACTTTCATACGAAATGAAAATCCCCCAACAATCTTACAATATTAATTCTATCACGGATAGGAACAGCAAAATGGTGCAGTCTCGGATTTGGTTGCAGTCTCCTTTAACTGTATGGTATTGGTTTGACATTATTTACATTTTGCAGAATATTCCGATTCCTGTGTTCTCTGACATTTTATTGATGATAATTCCGGACCGTTCACTTGGTACATGTCCACACTTTCCGTCGACATCATCATGGCTAAACGGCCTGCTTATCGCAGAGTTACAATGCCCATAAGTTGCCAAGTAATGCAATCCTCTGTGCCAACCTCGTGTACAACCGTTGTGGCGTCTCTCCTCCTCTCAGCTGTACCAGCTTCTTGCGCTGTATCCCTATCCCTATTAGTATCCTCCGACCCCGCTTCATATGGCCCATTCAACTATTCACACCGTTCTGTGTCCTCGTTTGCTCCAATCTCGCCTGAGAGTGAGCATTTAATGCAGCATAATCTCCTTCCCCACCGGTTTCAGGTGCCGTTCGCAGGGCTTCCGGGACCCAATCAGCTCTTCCGTTTCGACACACCCTCCATCCGACTTGTTGACTGTTCCCTGCTGCACATAAAAATCACTATCTTATGTTACTGACTGTTTGTAATCCCTCAATTACGGATCCCATAAACATTGGTGTTTGGAAGCGAATCGTAAATTGTCTTGGAGCTGCGACTGGAGATTTGTGAGAATAAGTCCTCGGCGTCTCTTTCATCTACTCGACATTCGTGAGCTGTGATTTCGTCCATTGTGTGATGGACATCATCAGAGTGGGACACAATTGACCGAAACACGAAGACAGGAAACATGATCGACTGCTATCCAGGCTTTTTGCTTTGATGATTTCCGTCCCAAAATGAGCTCCATGACAATTATCTTCCGGCTTCCGGTGATGTCAACTTACGGATTCTTTCCACTCATCTCGTCGGACGAAATGAAAGATAGGCCAACATCAATGCATTCAATGATCTGCAAAACCCAGCTTTTTTTATACATTCAAAGAGTTACTCACATAATTGATCAAATAGAGTGTGTTAGGACATGTGCATTGGCCTTAGCGACTCTAACGCATACAGTGTTTTAGACTTCGGAAAAACCCTATGCTAGTCATTCCCTCTCCCATGTACACCTCATTCTCTCCCATTCTCTGGGAAACTATGCCTGGATTCATTTGAAACTGTTAGTCACTCAAGCAAAACTCTCCTTTTTCTCACTAACCTCATCAGTCCCACCGAAAGTCGAGCTTCTCTTTGAGTGTGTATTTTGGTTAATACCTACTATTGCCCGGCATGTAATGCAACACCACTCACAACACATTCACACACATGCACACAAACTTAACCCATCTATTGGGGACCGAATGCTATAATGTTCCCAACATTGGCTCTTACATCAAAGTGGATCATCCATGACGCTATACTGTTCCGACGTTTATGATCCTTCTCTTCTATATCTCCAAGTAGTCACACTCTGCCAACTTTTATAGAAACATTCCTTCTCTGCAGTCACCTTCCCTTGACTTCCATTCTTCCTTCAAGACACCAGTCCTGGCAACGTCGATTACTGTTGCTCAGTTGATCTTTTGTTTCAAGTTGTCCATGCTGAATCTCGAAATTCTCAAAGTCTGCATAAATAATAGATGCAATTCTCCTCGACCCTCTTCTCATCTCATGTTCATTATGATCCCTTGAAGAATGATGTTCACGGCTTCTCTGACCTGTTTTCTCGTGTTTCCCAAAATCAGGACACTTTTGTCGAGAGTGCATGTCTTTTGATGCAAAACGTCACAGAACCCTCCATTTTTATTACTTCTTCATTTTGTGTAGACAGGCTTATGGGGAGAATTGTTAGGGAGAATTTTATTTGGTATGGGAGTGCAGGATAAAGCTATTCGTCGGTCCATCTCACCAGAAGACGACGGCCGATTCCCGTTATTCTGCAGCCGTTTGGTTGTAATACGACGTTCACTTTCGTGAATCATATGATGGACTTCAGCATAGCTGACACGCATTCTTATAAAAGTATAAAGTCAACAAGCAACAAGTCAACAAGACTGTACGTCTCTATTCTACGTCTTATAAATACCCATAACTTTAAGCGAAAGTGTGCATGCATAGATAAATATATTTAGAATGACTTGGTTATTTATCTTTTATATATATCACAGAACTTGTACTTGTGTGTGTGTGTGTGTGTGTAGGTGTGTGTGTGTGTGTAGGTGAGAATGTATTAACGTATGAACATAATGCCGATATTAGATTAGAGTAATGAGATGTATTCACCCTATTTCGTGTAAGGTGATAAAGGACTGGTAGTAGAATTTTCCCACAATGA